TAATAATTTGGTCAGAGGGACATAAAGGACAGTTTTTGCTTCTTGCCCTCCTAGGTCAACCAGTTCCTGGGGACTATGAGCATCTCTCAAAATGTCCTCTAATTTTGGTGGGTCACCTGTCCTCTTGATTATGGAGGCCAAGGAGACCCCACTAGATGGACTTGAATTAGTGTCCAGTCTACAAAGAGGAGATTCAACATCGAGGAACCATTTCTTCCATGCTTCCAAGCGAAGCCAACTATGGTCAAGCAGGACCTTTGACTTATCTTCACATAGGCGGAACTAGTAAAAGAAAGGATCCAGGGGCTCCTCCCAAGCCCATGTGACCCCTGAGGAACAGATCCTCAAACGACCTTAAGAGTAAAAATAAATTTATCTGGGCCAACTGTATGGCTTAAACACCCAAAAGGAAAGTATAACCAAATATTAAAGGGGCCAATATAATATTTTAAGAGTCCATATGCATAGCTAAAGGCTATATAAGAAGCAGCAATGTCAGATAGGAGATACCTTCTTTTGAATTGTTGGCCAGGTTGCCCCAAGGGACTCCCAGATAGTAACCCAGCATAGAACTGGGAAAATGAACAACAGACCCCAATCTTATCTAAAGGAATATTGACAACTGATTGCTGCTAGATGAGAAACAGATGACCGTCCTAAAACAAAGATCTCTAGATAGGCTGGCTAGATTCACCAGATGGACAAGTAGTGGGGAATGGTTGGTGGTGCCAACAATAAAGCAGACAGTAGGTATATCAGAGTATAAGGGCTGTAGTGGGTGGAGGGAGGGTATGGGAGGGTGCCATCTGGGAAGTGGGTGTATAGTTGAATAAGAAGGTTTGGGATGTTCTGTGTGATTAATACACACACACACACACACAAATTTTAAAAAATATTATATTTGAGGAGGAATCATGGAAATTTATGTCATGTTAATTAGTAGAGGTGATAAACATTACCAATGAAATCTACCCGATGACTTTATAGACATACACAGGCGCCAAGTATCCTAGTGCAACTGATTATG